ACTGCTCAGTTTATTCTCATAATTTAGTATTGATAATTACTATCAAAGAGAGTATCCCTGCGTAAAAGAAAGAAAACTCAGGTTACTATCAAGTTACTATACAGGACATCTCCCTTGTGAGATAAATGATTATCATTATTTACTTCCCAGACTCTTTTTCTTATTTATTTTTTTTTTAATTTTATTTTTCAACGTTTATTTATTTTTGGGACAGAGAGAACAGAGCATGAACGGGGGAGGAGCAGAGAGAGAGGGAGACACAGAATCGGAAACAGGCTCCAGGCTCTGAGCCATCAGCCCAGAGCCTGACGCGGGGCTCGAACTCACGGACCGTGAGATCGTGACCTGGCTGAAGTCGGACGCTCAACCGACTGCGCCACCCAGGCGCCCCCAGACTCTTTTTCTTAAAAGAGTAAGTCCCTTAAATGTTTTTCTTGGTTGCACAACAATGCAAATGCATTAAACCCTACCAAACTGTACTTAAAAATAGTTATGATGGTAATTTCATGTAATATGTATCTTGCCATAATTTAAAAAAATGTTTTTATAGACTGGGGATTGAAAAACTATGACATATGTATTATACAGGTCTCAAAGGCTTGTTTTCAGTTTCAAAGAACCTAGTTCCAGTCCTTCTCAATTTTTTTGAACAGTGTCAAATATTGCACCTAGTTCAAAAGACTGTACACTAATTAGCCATCCACCCACAAGGCAGTTCATTTTATATTCTCTGCTAGCCTTTTTTGAAGATGACTCAGAATCTTGGTCCCAGACTATAAAGAGATTTTTGTTACCTATTCTAGATAATAGCCTCCTCTTTCCCTCTACCCATGACTGAAAACCACAGCAGCAAGCATAGAAGATTGGGGGATGGGGACACAAGTAAAAGGGAATGGCAGCCACAACATAAATCCTACAGGAACCAGAAACCCAAACTTGTCTTGATATAATGAAACACAAACTAGGTGAAATTAAACAGTAATACAGATGTTTATAAGGTGTTAGAAAACAAAAAACCAAACAGTAGTTAACAGCTAATCAGTTAATGCATCACATCAGAACAGTTAGAATAGTGAAGTTTTATATCACAGGCTATCTATTTTTATTTACCATTTACTTTTAGATAATGAGCACAATTTTAAAAAGCATGCAAAGTCTTTCGTTGTTATAAGGCACACTCCCAAATCATGTCAATAATTATTTTTTTCTAGATTGATACAAAGTCAGTTAAAATACTCAAATATGCAAGCATTCAGATAATGACTGCATCTCTCTGTAAACAGCACTTAGGAGTGTCTTAAAGTCCTCCATAGTTTACAGATGTATACTGTTATATGACATTACCCGCCTAAGGTCATATTCTTGACAGTGATCAAAAGGTGTCTGGAGCAATCATTTATAAAAGGTAATAACTCGGGGCACCTGGTGGCTCAGTCGGTTGAGTGTCAGACTCTTGATCTGAGCTCAGGTCTTAATTGTAGGGGCAGGAGTTCAAGCCTCGCGTTGGATTCTGCACTGGGCGTGAAGCCTATTTAAAAAAAAAAAAGGTAATAACTCTACCAAAGAGTACAAAATACACTATTATCCACATATAAACAGTAAACTATTAGTCTAGAAAAAAGGTGGCCTTTGGTGGTTTGTACTTGTTAAAAGCCATCCCTGTTCTATGTGTGTGCACGTGTCACACACATATCTGGACTGTGTTAATAATTTTCACTTCATATTAAATAAGTACAGGCATGCTGAGCTTGTATGTTTTTTTCACCAACTCATTTTGAAACCCTCTTATGGGATTTGGCTACAGTAGCATGTAAGCTTGGTTATTACCTCTAAAGAAAGAAATTTCCCAACAAAATTGGGAAGCTAATGACAACAAAGTGAAACTGATGCTTTCCCAGTTGAGTGCCATTCCTGGTTTCCTTCAAGGCATAGAAGAACTTGCCCATGTAGAAGCAACACCCTTTACTTTCTTTATAGTATACCTGGAATAGAGGAAAGGACAGCAATACCTTTTATTATCAGCCTCAGCCTACCTATAGCATTTTCTCTGACCATGAAAAAAAAAAAAAAAAGAGGTGGGGGAGAGAAAGGACTAGGATAAACACAGAATTCTTCTTTGTTCTCAACATACGGGTATTTTAGACTCTTTCATTTATTTGGATTTACTCTGAGGAGTTTCTGATTGTTAGCTTTTTTAAGTTCTGAGCCTTTTTCTGTGGATGTTGCTATTTTAAGAACAATAGTACTTTCAGGCCAAGATGGTTTCATGAGTTAATTCTTTCAGATCTTCAAAGAATAGAGAGCTCTTATGCTCTTTAAACTACTTCAGAGCAGAGAAAGAAGGAACTCTTCTCAGTTCTTTTTAGGAAACCATCATAACCCTGATATCAAACTCTAGCAAAGAAAACACAGAAGAAGAGGACTATAGATGACACCCAATTACTGATTTTAAGTAAAAATGTTACCAAAAAGGAACCTTCAAAGAATAGAGAGCTCTTATGCTCTTTAAACTACTTCAGAGCAGAGAAAGAAGGAACTCTTCTCAGTTCTTTTTAGGAGACCATCATAACCCTGATATCAAACTCTAGCAAAGATAATACAGAAGAAGAGGACTATAGATGACACCCAATTACTGATTTTAAGTAAAAATGTTACCAAAAAGGAACCTATATGCTTAAATATTACACCATGATCAACTGTAAGGTTGGTTCACAAACTGGAAATCAACTAAAATAAACCATCATCCTAATAGGTCAAAGAAAAGCACACAATAGGTCACGACAGATGCCTAAAAGCCATATGACAAAACTCAACTTTCACTCCTCATAAAAATGTTTAGTTAAGTAGTAATGAGAAGACATCATCTTAACAACAAGAAATATACAGACCAAATGAACACTCAACATTATTCAAAATTGCTCGCAATATGCTAGCCAATGTAAACACACACACACACACACACACACACACACACACACACACACACACA